GCCTTAGGTTTAAGGGCTAAGATCTCATCCTAGGTTTTCTGCATCAAATGCAAAATTTTCCCACAATGACTTTTTAAGTGGTATTGGGATGGTACCTCTTCCAGAAGTAGAGTTAAGTCACTGCTTCACTATAATTCTAAGAAATGTATTCCTCTCTTAATTTCATGATCAATCACTCTATTACCTAAAATAAGTGGTTCTCTTGCCTAACGCTATCAGCTGTCATCTTGTCAAGATGGATCACATTTGTGTCTCTGGTGAGAACCAGTGGGTACTTTTTCACTCTCCTAGCCTTCTTTGAATGACAATGAAATCAAAGGGGCCAGAAAAGGAAGGAAAGATCAGCTAAAAACAAACAAACAAACAAAACAAGTCTGAAGACTCTAAGAGGGAAGGGGTTTTCTGCATCCTTTTCATAGAAGACTAAAATTCTGATGGGTACAAATATTGCCTGAGAAAGCTACAAATAGAATAAATGTAGCCATCAAATATACAGAAAATAAGTATTTTTGCAGTCCTGTCTGGAATGATTCATTTCAGTTTAATGATTAACTAGATGCTGTACTGCAAGCAACATTTGAAGTGAACTAATATCTCTTTCCAAAAAAACTGTTCTTTCTTGCACTACCTTGGAGTCAGGGTCTGCTATAGGTTTTGTGAGGTTTGAAATTTATACGATTTGAGTGGGCCTCTTAGGAAAAAAAATGCAAATATATTATTAGGAAAATTGTTAGAAATGCAAGTATTTTGAATGGAAGTTAAATTAGAAACTTTTAAAGGCTGCCAAAAGACATCACAAAATCAGTATAAAACATTTTTTATTTTTTAGCTGCCTAATTTTCAACTTATTATGTTGACAACTTTGTAATATACTATCTCTAAAAAGGTAGTAAAAATAAACGACTGATGAAATTTGTGTTCTAGTACTGAGATTTAAAAATACTTTCAGTTTCACAACCTGTTGTTGGCAATGAGACATGCTATATTAAATGCATAAAACATAACTTTTTTCCAAGTTGTACCACTGTAGTTACAGGTTTTGTGCCCTACATAGACATTTTGACAAAATGTCACAAATTACATCAAAAAGGAAGATCATGCATAATCATATATATTATTATTTGAATTCTTACAGAATACCAGTTTGTCTAGGTATTAATTAAAAATGAATTTGCCTTTTGAGATTTTTACATATTTGAGAGGTGAGAGACTTTTTGACAGAGCCAATCGACCAGCTGCATATATTTAGCCACATACTTTAGGCCACAGAAAATGTTTATATCAAGATGGACAACCTGCTAAGCAGTGGAGGATTTAAATACAGCAACCTTGACTCCCAGTAGCTTTGATGAAATCTGTGGGCCAGAAGCAAGAAAATGCAGCTGGTTGGCTAACTCAAGTTCCACTCACATGGCTAAGACTGAGCTCTCTCTAGTTACTACTGGTAGGTTTACCAAATCCTTCTGCCAAGTACAAATCATATCTAGTTGGTTTTTAAAAAAGGTATGGTATGCATGGGAGACATTGTTCTATACCTTCCATTAGATTTTAAGCTTGTTTAAAATCTTGATAACATACTACTCAAAACACAAAAGGATTTAAAACACCATGGGGATGACATGAATATTTAGGAATTTTCATCACATGCTAACAGGTCTCAGGTATTCATAAAACTGATTTTGTTTATTTAGAGAGCAGAAGAACAACACACCTTCAGAGATCTACAAATATTTTCAGAGGAGTAAATGGAGACTAGGTGGAAGAAAAAGAAAATCCATGAGAAGAAAATTCAGATAAACGAAAGAAGTAACATGTTAGGCTACAAAGATGACTATGCTGACAAACATAACTAAAAGAAATCCATCAGCCGGCAACCATTCTTTGAATGATTTTTGAGTGTCAACACCTTTTAAATAGTAAACATTCAAATACTGTGCAAATGAACATACTAGTTATGGTGGAAACAATAACAAATTTAAAAGATGAAAAAGGATCACACACTCATGGGCACACATGAAACACATATCAACAAAAAAAGCACTGTCTTTCAGCTCTACTGAGTTTTGTAACAAAGTCATCATCCTCCCTTCTCCCAGAGCTTCATGTTTGTTCCCTTAGCACCATGTTCTCTTCTACACCTGACTAGCAAGTAGACATGCAAGTATGTAGTACACAACTCCCTGTATTTGACCATCTACTAGGCTTGTTTTATTGGTACCTATTCCATTGTTTTGCCAGAACAGGTCAGATCTATTACACATCTGGTTAGCAAACAGTATGAATGAGATCATTATTTTTTTGTACAGTAGGTAGTTAACCTCACGCTAATGCTGAAATGGTTTTTCCTTACATTTCTACACATATAATTTCGCTTTGCACTTAAGAAAATATGGTCCATTTCAAACTGTCAATGGATAGTTTTTTAACTATTTAAAAAATCTTTATAACTCAAGAGTTTAAGAATCAGTAAGAATTTTTCATTGCCATTTATGGAAGCAGCAGCATTCTGCACTATTTCCCAACTCCAGGTTTCTTTTTCCTTTTACTCAGTTTCCTTTTTATTTGTAACAGTCATTTTGTCTTTGAATTTATAAACAATGCTACCATAGGTTAGACTTTCAATAGTTTAATACTCAAGCCAATGCTTTTAAGTTTCAGCTTCCTAAACACAAATTTTGATTTTTAGCACTTATGCTTTGGATATTTAAAAACTAGTAAATTTAGAAATTGATCACTATGTCACTAAGAGTTCTTGGGTCATTTTATTTTTTACTTAGAAAAAAGTGTTTCACGAGAAATAAAACTTTTAATCACTGGGATGCTCAAATTACTTACCATCCCAATTTAAAAACACCTAGTTTGTCTAGGTTAGGTAGCTGTTCATGAATTCTGAGTACTACGAGTCTTCTCATTTCCAAAAATAATTTTGTAAGGAAAAATGATTTTCTAGTATCTACAATCACTGTTTCTATACTAATTACTTCCTTGGATATATGCAAACACTGGTTCCCAACTCATCCTCTGCAAAGAATGGCCCTGGCCTATTGTTTTACCTAAGTCTTCTCTTCCTTGTATACACTAGGAAAATAGTTGTGTCCCTTTGCATAACCATAAATGCTACATAACAACATTGGTTTAGGGCTTCCCACATTAGATGACATCAGCACTAAGCTATCATTTCCTACTCAGTCTCAATTTCAGTATTCCTTCCTAGGTCTAGGACTACTGAATAGGTGGCTAGGTGGTTCCTTTGGTATTTCTACTACAGCAATTACCAAAATATTACAGCTACACTTTTTTTAAGAAAATGAGCATAAGGACTATGGGCTATTTCCATCTTCATTACCAAAAATAATTCAGCATAGTGTTAGGCATCCCATTTAATGTACTGTTAATTAAAATTAAACTGGATTGTATTTATTTTTGTCCTTACAATCTAGAAACATCTCAACTTTATCTTCTATTGATTCAAATGTTTATCATTTTAGACATTTCTCAAATTTAATGCATCTAATTTTACTACTTTCTCAACTGCATATTAATTTCATTTTGCATCTTTGCCTGTATAATTTTATGACTTTCATTACTGGGGTAGGCAGTGGAACCACCGAAATAAATCCCCATCCTGACCTTTATAGTTTTTTGCACTTTAAAAAGTATAAGTTGCAAACTGAGTGTGGTGATGTTTGTGTGTAATCCCCACACGCGGGAGGCTGAATGGTGGGAATTTAAGGCCAGCTTGAACTACACCATGAGACCCTGTCTCAAAAAAAAATAAAAGTATATATTTAAAAAATCTTGTTTATGACAGTAAATCTACTTCACAGTGAAGAATCAGAGCCTCAGGGCACTGACTTTTTTTGTGCTGTAATTATTCATATATTCCTCTTCTATTTGCTTGTATCTCTTTCTCTTTGCTTTTATCTATTAAAAGGCCTGGTTTAAATGAGGAAAAGGGTAAGATTAGATTACACAGAAGTTGTTTGGCTATTATGGCACAGGGACTGACATACAACTACACCCACCTGGTGCCTTGACAAAAAGAACAATGGTGAAGGGTAGGTAAAAGAGAAGGAGAGAGGGAGATGGAAAGGTAGCACAACAGAGATGTCCCAACTTTTCTTTGCCACTATCCATGGTAGATGCCTGCAGACCTTCCTGAGAAAGAGGGAAGGAAAAAAACAAAGAAGCAAAGGAAAAGAAAGGGAGGGAAAAGCAAAGCAAAGCAGGCAGGCAAGAATGTGTTTTGTGAAAGATTTCTACTAACGTGTCTTCTCTTGAAAAACAGTGACAAAAGCAAATGTCACTTTTGGCCTTCTCTTCTAAACAAATTATTCTGAGGTGGTAGATGAGGAAACATATCCCAACATTCTAAAGCAAAGTATTGAGGCTAGCTGTTTTATCGTAGGATGAAAAAGGTTACAGAGTTCATTAGTAAAGTTGAGAATATGACCAATCATTTGTTCTATTTTACTATACTTGCATAATTTTTAAAGTTTCACAACACCTTTTATGTATTTTTAAGGAAATCTAGGGCATGGATACAAGTGCATTGGGTATATGGAAGGTTTTTCACTGTACCCTTCCTACTGGCACCTTGGTTATAATTTTTAAGCAGCAAGTTTGTTACTATTACTAAGCTGAATAATAAGTACCATACCCCAAATCTACTTTTTGACAACTGCAAAGGGTTGTCTAGGATAGATGAAATTGATAGGAACTGATCTTTAAGTGTTAGATTAACACATGATACAGGAATAAGTCATTCAATATGGATGGTATGTAAATGATAAATATATGGAATATCTTACAAGTGAGTTTCTAGTAGTTCCAAAAAAATACTAACTTCCCTACATAGGAAAGATATTTACTATGCATAATTTAAGTTTTTTTAAATCAAATATATCTCTTTTGCAAAGCAACATTATTTTTCAAATGAACACAAAGCCAGTCAATTGGTTCTGAATAAGTAGTACCAATTTTATTTTAACTCAACGTGCTGAAATGCAAAATATTTTCAGCAACAAGATACAAATAGCATGTATCTCATCATTAACATCAACTGATTAAAAATGAGGCTGAAAAGTTCAGTAAGCTTGTACACGTCAATCTTGAAAGTCAATTTTCCTCAGAACTAATACTTAAATGATTTTAGCAGTTTTATTTTCGAAAATGGGACTCAAGTCTTATCTTCAATTTAAAAAAGTGAATGCAAAATCAAATAGTTTACAGTATACAATAAGTTCTAATAACAGAAAAAGGTTTAAATATAAGAATTCCTTTCAAACATAATGTTCACATACTACAAACAGAAGACACTGTGTGATTTCATTCCTAGTGAAGAAGTCTTGCATATGGTAGGCACTCAATATTTGTTCAACTGGACCTAAAATTTGTATTATTCCACGAACACTTAAATAAAGTAGAGCATTTTATAACCTGTATAAAAGAGGTTTGCAAAATACCCTTATGTGTGCTGAAAAGTGCTGTTTTTATAATCTGAGAACACTAAAACAAACTCACTCACTCCCTTTTCCAGAATACATTGACTGCTTTATCCATCATAAATGGCATGCATGTCCAGTCAGATTAGCTCATTTCTCTCTACATGACTAGAATCAAAACTTGCTGAATTAGATTTTCAAAAACTTAATTTATCAAAGTCCCTGTTGCATTTTAGTAACAGTGGGTAGTACCTATGATCCAGAATCTATTTATTATTTGTCTGCATTTCGGCAGTGCTGCAGATTGAATCCAGAGTCTCATGCATGCTAGCGCTACACCCTTAGTTCTTATCCACAATTTTACAATGAATTTTACTTGGATTTTAAATTTATGCACGAAATTTTAAATGGGAAAATTAGAAATTATACATTTGAGAATTTAAGTTTTGAAGTCTAATTAAAAAAAAATCAATAACGTTCATGACTTGAGATTTTTGTTACCATTTTAAAACATAATTGATGTCCTTAAAAGGCACTGTTTTTACATTTCATCATGCAGTAAATTAGTCACATTTTTGAGAATTATTCCTATGTCAATTGTTCCTCAAATTCAAGCACATTTAAATATTTCAACTAATCTGAATGTTCAACATTTAACTGAGTCCTATCTTCATAATCCACTCTTCTGAACATATCACACACAAGCCCAAATGAACAGACACACACATGCACAGATACACACACACATACTACCCCCCCCAAATGACCACATAATTCATGCAAGGTTCTCCAATTACTATTTGAAGACAATGACACAAGTAATTAAGGAGGTAACATTGGTAAGCCATATTATGGCACCTTCATATTTGTGCTCCAAATACCAGTACACATTAAAATTAAAAAATGAAAAAGGCACAAATAGAGAGTTTCTAATTCTTAGTTGGAAGAAAGTTATCCAATGGCTACTTTTCAATTGTGTTATATTTAAAACCAGTCACTACTTTCTAAGCAAAAGCCTTCTCAGTTAATAAAAGAAAAATAGGAGCAGACTTATAGTAAGGCAAATCTGCTCTAGACAGAAACTGCCTATTTTAAATAAAATGTATGCAGTTTAAGATGGTGGAAAGGGTGGGGAAAGCTAGTAGAGCACTCACATAAGAATACATTAACAGTTTCTTTTTTATCACTGCCTCAAGAAAACTATACTAAAAATATACATAATAAATAAAAAAATAAATCAACTACCATACAATTCTATTAGTATAATGGTAGGCATTATCTTATTTGAAAAGTGGACATTTCTACAAAAATGAATATTCATAATTACAGCACAGTGTTTGACATTTTGGGTACAAAATGTGCTACCAAACTTAAAAAAATCTTTATAATAAAATCCTTAAGATTTGAAATAAACACTGGAGTTAGGAAGCTGAAATGCTTACTAAATGGTGTTATGGAAGTACATGTAGTTAGAATGTAGGCTGAATCAGTTAATTAATTCACAATGTACTGGCATGGTGTGCATTTGGTATAAATGGATACACCATTTTTAATATGTGATAACGTAATTCTATAGCCAGACAGAATTTTTGTTTTCTTATAAATAAGATCCTCGAAAAATCATACAAGTATATGTGTGTATTTTTAAAATTGTACATCATACTGGGCGTGGTGATGAATGCCTGTAATTCCAGCAAAAGGACTGCTGAGACAGGATCATCACCACAAGTTCAAGGCCAGCTGGAGCTACTTAGTGGCTTTGAGGCCAGCCTGGACTATATAGCAAGACCTTGTCTCAAAAAACACAAATGAACCAATAAAATAAAATTGAACATCATGAATTTCAGAGGCTTAATCTTAAGGTGAAATTCGGAAAGTGAATTTCTACCTGCCATTATACTCTTATACAGGATAAAATCCATTTCTAGGTCAGAATCTTTCTTCTATTCTAAGGGATTCTTCAAATTTTAAATTTAAGTTACACAGTGAAGACTCAAACTAAAATAACTGACAGTATGATCTTTTCAAAACTCTAGACTGTTTTGAATAATAAATGCTTACTGGACAGTGTTCAATGTAAATACGAATCACTCTTTATACATTAGGATCACTTCAGTTAACATCTAACAAAGAGCAAAAATAACATCTATTTTATAATTTCAAGCTTCATCGTTTTTCTTTGTCCTGAATGCAAAAACTAAAATAAACAAATTTTACTCTGGAAAATAAAGTTAAATATGCAAAGATACAAGTATGCACATTTTTTTCCAGTGACACTTTTCCTCTTGTGGTCAAATATAAATCTTGCCTAAGCAGAACACTGTCACCATGACAGTGGGTCAGATGTGGTTCTCTGATACCAATCACACCTGCTTCTCCAGAACAAGGACCCAGAACAAACCTTACAACTATCAGTGAATGTTTTGTGTGTGTTTAAAGCTAAAATTCACTTGTAATAAAAACTGGCCCATGAAAAGCAGTTTATAAAATAGTTTATCCTGTTCACATTATGCAGAATTTCAATAATCCACAATGTTAGTACAGTAACTGAAACACAAAGAAGAAAGTAAGGGGAGAAAAAAGCTTCATAGCATGGACTGACAGTCTAAGGGTTCTCTCCTTTACTATGCATCTTCCATGGGCAAATAATATTTGTTCACTGTTTGAAGGAAGGCAAACTGTCCAGAATTCATTTATTGTTCAGGTGCCTTTTCCAAACTATGATAAAATAGGAATTCAATAAGGAACATCTGAAATCCAAACCAATTTACCTATAATCAAAGATCTCTTTCCTATCAATTATCACAAACATCCTAGTTTCCTCCCTTTGTCTTAAAAACTTCTTTGAAAAGTTAAAACATAATTATACATTATTAATTCCCTCAAAAGCAAAAAATATATGTACCATTCAGCATAGAAAAGTTACACATTAAAAGTGCATATATATTTTTCTTACTTGGCCCACTCATTAAATTTACATTTGGTCAACCTTATTTTTAACATGTACAGAATTCTTCATATAAATGTAGATCATTATAAATTAAAAAAAATTACTTCAGCATAAAACATGCTTTCTTCTTATTGAAATCTTAACCTCAATCATTTCTCTACCATTGTAAACTTGGACACACCCACAGTTTCTTGGACAGTTAACACAGACAAACATCACAAATTTTAGCATAATTTGGGCCAATTCATTGCATATTTGCCCCTTGAAACGAAAAATAAATTAGAATTGAAGCAGTGTATTGCCATAACCTACCCTCAAGGTAAGCAGGTTCTCCTGTATTTATAGAACTTAGATTGGACATACAATACAAGTGCTTTAAAGGAGAACATAGTTTTACATGTTGAAATAGCTTAGGACAAGTCCTATAAAATTCAGTTTTCCTTTCTCAAAACAATGGAAGATCCTTTTGAAACTTATTATCTTCAGTTATCAATATTACTGCATTATGGAGCTAGTGCAATCCTGCATAGCCTTGGTCAAAATGACAAGGCACAATAAAAAAAATTAAAGTATTATATGAACAAGAGAAGTCACTGAAGATAATTTAAGGCCTTGAAGTGAATTAATCAGTCTAATTTAAAGCTGAAGTATAAAACCATAAATTATCCACCTGAAATGCAAGCAATATGCCTTTTCAGCTTCTGTTCTGCAGACAAGAAAACAGAAACAACTCTCGCTTATGGTTTGTGTGTTAGAATCCTTCTGGACCTGGAGGAGTAAAAGTCAATTCCATTTCTTTTTACTGTTCATGGAAGATTTCAGGATTGCTTTAGCCGTTTGCGTGGAATGCCAAACTGTGGACACTGTGCAGATGCTAGTGCTCGGAAGGCTTCTGCTACTAAGTGAGGGTGAGACTGAATCATAGACTTCCACCCTGATGTTTCCATTATGTCAGTGGCTTGGCTGAAAAATAAAATTTAGTGATGTTTACTAAAAGATATTTTTTAAAATGCATTGTTTGTCTTGTTAATATTTTTTAATCTGTAGATTTTGAAATATTTGAACAAATATGTACTTAACCCATTTCAATTTATTAAGATATCATACTCATCTTACTGGTATTTTCCGTTGAAACTGAACTCTTAAAATATTTCTGGGAGAACAACTTCCCTAAGTAAAGCACAGTCTCCATAGTTCTGCTCTCATTGCTATCATTTCTGTACCAGTTCTCTGAAGAGTCTTCGGCTCTTTTTATACTTCCCTCTTATAAGCATGTTTGTTCCAGAGTTCCAACATTTGCCCTCTTCTCCTTTAACATGTATTATTTATTTTATCTCAACCACTCTTCAGAATTTTAATTATCATATTCAATGATAACTAATGATCTGCTAAATCCCAGGCCCCCCCACAAATTTTATTTGTAATCATTTGTTCTTTTAATGTGCCGCAAGGCCCACAAATTCATGACTGTCAGATTATCATAGCTCCTCAAACCCCAAATTCTTCCCTTTTCATTTCCAATCAGCTTCGACCACAGCTCAATGATTCAGATTAGAAAACCCGGGAATAGTCCTAGAATCTGTCCTAATTAAATGTCAAAAGTTCTTGTTTTAATTTTCGAATATATCATGAATCTCTGGTTTAGGCCTTGATCACCTCGTATTTAGATTATTACAATAGTCTCCTAATTTGTGTAGACTCCTGTCTTGCTCCTCTCAATCTAGCTTCCAAAATATGCCATAGTGACATAAATACGACTGCATCATGCTCTCCTCTATTGTTCTTTACCTAAATCTAAGGTTTTAGAAAGAAAAACAAGGCTCCTTATTGTTGCCCAACTATCTTTCTGCAGCTTTCCACTTCCATTTTTCACTTTTATACTCTAGCTTTTTATACTCAGGTACTGAGGTGTTTATTATACTCTATGTATAACATGCTCCTCCTGACCAGAGTAAACAACTGCTCAAACAACAAATCTAGTTACCTTTCTTTTCCTGTTTTCTTCTTCCCCTTTAACCACTCTCTATTCAAATAATATCCAAATTTATAGAGTCCTAACCTGCATGTGGAGTATTAAAAATGTAAATGTGATTATGGCCATCCTAGCTGATGTTTATTGGATGCTTATTAATTTTCAGTTTGAATATAAAGTCCTAATGTTACATGGCTTTGCAGAATCTGACTGTTGCCTGTGTCTACTTTTTCTATCTTCTTCCAATTACCTATCCTCTTCACACACACATATGTGTACACACACATACACTAGTGTTCCCTCTTCTGGGACACATTTCCCTTCTCTTTTTTTCATCAGATCATCTCCTAGAAATGTTTTAAGCCTGTATTTTTACAATTCTTTGAAAAGATTTTTTCTTACCCCTACGCTATGGGTGTACATTCTTTATTATTGTACTTCATTGAAATTACCTATTTAATTAATGTGCTATTAAACCATAACTCCTTGACGATACAAGAAATATGTCATCTTCACCACCATATTCTCTGTACAAAAGCACAATGCCTTGGGAACTTACTGGATAATAAAGTTTAAAAGTTTGTCAAGTGAATGATCCACCACTGCTTCGTGTGTGCATACTCTGATTCACATCACCCTTCTTGACTATGTCTACCACTTTCTCCTTAGCTAAGTGGGGTGGTATAAACTTAAAATCCCAGCACAAATTCAAGCTCAGCCAGAACAATTTAGCAAGACCTTCTAAAAATAAAATATATAACAAAAGAGCTGGGGATGTAGCTCTGTGTGAAGGTCCCGGTATTAGGGGTGGGGTGGGAAACCTTGGCTCAGTCACCTCCAGAAAAGCCATGTCTAAATCTTTAAGCACATACAGAAATGCCTGTACATATCCAGTTCTAGCATATTACTTACTGTATTATAATGAAATTATATATTCATATATCTCCATTACATAAATTTCTCAAAAGGTTTTCCTTCAAATATCTTTTTAAATAATGCATCTTAGCATGGTGCTTGGAATACAGTAAATGCTAGGTTAATGTGTATTGAGCTAACTACTAGGTGATATCAAGAAAATAGACTGCCAGTGTATTACTATCTTTAGAATTTCCAACTACCAGTAGTTGTTTATAATCACAGATGTTATTATACTTTGATTTTTTCCCTTATTGATTAAATAAATATTTATTGAAGGAGTACATACACGACACAGCTTTTCAGGGGAAATGAAATACGTTAATAGTCACTGACACTGGAAAAGCTATATCATGTATTTTCTTTATAGAATAAAACTAAAACTTGAAAATTGATAAGTAAATAACTATAGTATTGTTATTTGTTGATAGTATATTTTTTCCCTCAGATCACAAACCATGGTCATATATTATCATGCACTAATACACAGAAGAACCAATGACTTACAGTCACTAGTTTTTACTTTCAGAAAACAGAGTACACAAACTGATAGTTCAATTAACCAATTTCATCTATATTAAGATAGATGAAAGCAATAAGAAATAATTAAATTAACAAAATAATTCATTTTATTGTCTCAACACTGTTTTTTCCCTAATATTAACTTTTGATAATTTGAAAAAATGTAATTCAAGGGTTTACAGGTAAAACCAATTAATATAATGTTCAAACTATCAATTTTTCCTTTTGATGTGAAATAATTATAATACAAAAGTCACTCTAAAACTGACGTAAGGAAAAAGTAGAAAGTAGTAAGTTCTAATATCTAAAGATCTAGGCTTTGAGGGATATAGCAACCATCGAATTCCTTATAGGCTCACTAAGGAAAAAAAAATCAAATTTTTACCATTTTTTAAGTATTAGGCAGCTTATCCTAATATAGCATGTGATGCAAGCTATTTGACTAACATAAGAAGCAGTGAATTAGCATTAAAAATTACAGACTTTCAAAGCAAATCTAGGGGGTACAATCCTCATTGGAATAAATGAGTATTTCCCATATTTTTAGGAATGCTTTCTGAAGGGGTACAGGTTGATCTCAGGCAGCTAATACTTGCACTCAGCTATATAACATGTAGCATATGTGCTTAAGAAATTAGATCATCTATGCCAATTTGAATGAGAAGCTGACCTACAAAGGAGCACAGCCTCAGGAAGCCACTAAACAGTCAAATTATCTTTTCTTCTAATAACTAGCAGTTTACTTCATATAACCAACATCTGGTTCATATTTATTGTCGATGAACAAAAGGCTATGCAAACAATTTCATTTATGCAGATCAGAAACTGATATAATCTTACTTGCTGTTCCAGTTTTTCCCATCTTTACACCCAAGTTGTCGAAGTACACTGCACCTGCATTGAAGATTTAAACACACTTAAAAAAGAAGTCCAGTGAAAAAAATGTTGAAGGTGTCATGCCCAGTGAAATACAACCCTAGCTTACCTATTAATAAAGTCTATGGCTTGTGCTTTCAACTGTTCAGCACTGTGCAAATCTGCAAGGACAAGGATATCGGCAACATTTTCTACTGAGAGGTTACTACACAAAGCTTCTTCACACATGACCTTCAGCCGTTCCAGTGCATACTATCCAAAAGAAAAATATAGCTAATAAACATTTCCTCCAACTACTACATTTTCAAATACATGATTTATCTAAGTGCAGATTATTCTTTGAAATACAGTTATTTTAAGTCATTAAACCATTGTTTTCTGCTTTTTTTTTTTTTTGGTACTGGAGATAGAACTCAGGTCCTTGCACTTGCAAGGCAGGCGGTGGAACCACTGAGCTAAATCCCTGGCCAGTCACTCTTGTATTATTATTCATACATAAAAGTATGAATAAACGCATTTAGAAGAGAGACTCATTTGCTTTTAGGAGAATGCAATTTACATAATCGCGAAGATATAGTGTATTAATTTAAAAGTAGAATTTATGCTACCAAAGCTACATTATGATCAGACTAACATTTAAATACCACAGTTTCTTTTGTATTAGAAATACAAAGGGTAATTAAGGAGGATAAAGGAGGATAGATATTGGGAAGTAGGAAGAACATATTCAAATGGGAAGGGGAAGAAGGAGGGGACTGTAGAAGGAAAAAAAAGAAAAAAAGATAATGGAGGAAAAAGTGGAAATAAAACTTTTGTAAATGGGGAGGGAAAGAGTTATTGAAGGGAGGGTAGGGGAATAGGAAAAAAAGAGTTAAGATATACGCATTATGTACAGGTACAAATTTCCTATGATGAACATGATCAATATGTATAACAAATATATTAATAGACAAAACTTTAAAAAAGAAAAAAAACCTTATGACTTAATATTTCTAATGGTATTAACATTTCTCTTCTCTTTTATTTCATACTTACAAGTATACAATCCAGGACATTGCATTTTACTATTATTCAATCTTGAAGAATGAATTTGTTAAAAGCTAAACAAATCCTGTTCATAACCACTAAAAATTCTTGCAGTGATTAGTGTACACGTACATAATATACAATCTTTAGTGGCTTTATTGAAGTATAACCGATTTTGATGAATTTATACAGCCACAAAATCATCACTTTTTCAAGATAGTACATGTACTCAGTATCCCTACAAGTTTCTTCTTATTCCCTCTGTCATTTCCCATTTATACACTATCACTACAGATTAGTTTCCATTTTCTGATGCTCTCTATAAATGAAATTACCCAATATGTATTCATTTTTGTCTGGCACTTGCACTCTCTATAAATGAAATTACCCAATATGTATTCATTTTTGTCTGGCCCTTGCACTCACTATATTTTCAGATTCTCATCTCTAATGCCTGTACACCAACAGTCCAATTCTCACTGCTGAGCATTTCATTACATAGAGAAATACCAGAATTTGTTTATCCATTCACTTGTTGAACATCTGGGTCATTTCCAATTCTTGGCTATTAAAAATAAGCTGCTATGAATATTCATACACAAGTATTATATGATAGATGCTTTTTTTTTTCCTGAGTAAAAACTTAAAATTGGCCCTACTGGATCATGGATCATATACTAACTTTAAATTTGACCTCATAAGAAAACTGCCAAACAGTTTTCTAAAGGGGTTATACCATTTTATAGTCCCATTAGCAGTATATGAGAGTGCTAATTCTTCCATATTGTTGATAAGACTCAATATGATCTTTGTAATTTAAACCACTATTAATAGGTAAGCAGAAGTAAAGATACATCATATTGATTTTAGTTTACAATGATGTCAAGAATCTTTCAATGCATTTCACTGATTTCAGTTTAGGAAGCAGCTGTTCAAACATTTTATCCACTTTTAGCAAAACCACTGCTGTTTCATACTTGAGTTCTGAGAATTCTTTAAATAGTGTGACTATAAATGTCAGATATGTATTAAAAATGTTTTTCAGATTTAGAATCCCTGTCTCTGAGTTTCTGAAATTTTTACAGTTTCTCCACCTTCAAGAAATCACCAGTGCAACAGAATATTATAAAATTGTTAACATTCTTTCTCTTTTTCTGTGCTGTATATCTGTGTATTATATTTCTGTGCATATTATATATCAATCTATGAATACACAGAATTATATATATTTTCTCCTATAAAACAAAGGGCACACACTGCTACCCTAAGGCTAAGACTATCTGATAACTGTAATAAATTTCATATTGTGAAAGGGCATCTAAAAATGTTTATAGCTTAACCTCTCAAAAAATTCACTTCTTCCTAGCTCAAGATATTTTTACATCTTGTTAATTTTTTAAACAATATAATTTCCATACTATCCTACTATATTCTATTTCATAAAACTCTCAAGAGCCACTGACACGCAGTATAAATTAATTCAATATTTTAAATTGTTTAGAGCTTTTATTTGATGATAGCTTTCTGTATACATCAAGCTAGAGGATATTTTTCAACTCCTTAAAACCTAATTACTTACTTTGTCTGCAGCTGCCAACAAGTTGTCAGCCATTTTATCAAGATTTGGTGCTTTCCCTGTGTAAATGAATCTCATCATTTCTTTAAAAACCTCGGGGTCTACATCATTTATTTCCACTCGATTCTGATATTGAAAACAACATAAAAAAGTTAAGTTAAAGAATACATACATATAAATGAGCCAAAATGAGTGACAGTAATTAAAAAAACACCACATCTGCACTAATATATTTCCCACTCAAAATAAATAAATTATCTATTTTAAAAGTGAGGTAAATAAATCTTCACTAAGCTAACCAGCCAAAATAAAACAAGTAAAATAAAGAGGAAAAGAATATACTGTATAAGAAGTGGGACACACAACCAGCTGAAAAGCCCATACTGTAATACTGAGACAAGGCCAAGCACAAGTATGTAGGAATATAAGCCTCAATTTCTCAATTATTAAAGAATAAAAATCTGTAGGACAAACAAAATACATCTGTGTTCAGTTTCTGACCTCTATCTTAGAGGATGATAGCTACTAACCTTTTCCTTGTAGAATTTGCAGGTCCTAAGAATGTTAAAGACCTTTTAACCAATAACTCTATTTCCAGCATTTAGCAAAAGTGTGTACAGTAAGTAATTGAATTGAGGCTCACATAGCTCAGAACATGCCTTTTGCAACAATGATGTTATATTATTCACTGTTTTTCCCTTCTTACGTGAGACATGTTCATATCCAAGAGGACTAATTATATATTTTTAGGCCTGTGTCTATTTGTAGTCTGTTTTTCTTTTGAGATCAGCAAAGAAATTAAGTATCTAACACTAATATCAAACTTTTCAGACCCTTTCTTATTAATACCATTCAACATGAGTGCTGCCTCCTCACTTGAGTGATCAGGATAATCATGTTACCTCTGGAAGAAAAGAAGGTATTCTATGGAGGCCTCTAGTTCTAAAGAATAAAGCTAGAACATGTGAAAAATTCTGGAGTTGTCCACTAAGATCCTTAAGGTTCACATATTATATAACCAGAAAAACAATTAACATGATCTCTAAGACAGCTACATTTCAAAGTGCCAGGTGAAAGAGTAATGATTAGAGAAGACAAATATGTATTATTTTGATTATAATTAGTATATAATAACAGATACAATCTATGTCCTTTTTGTTAAAATGAATTAATATCCTCTTATTTTGTGGTAAATAATACAGACCTCTTTTTTGTTAGAAAAATAATTCCAAAGTTAATACACAAGTCTAGAAAAGTAAAGATACATCTTCACCAAAAACCAGTCAATTAGCTATGGACCAGAACATTCTTTTCCAGTGCTAGAAATCAAACCCAAAGTCCTGTGCATGCAAGGGACATGCTTTACCACTGAGCAGTATCTCCAGTCTCTACAGTGTCCTTCAGTATAACAACTACTCATTTAATTAGCTACCAGAAGAGTATCAAACTAGCTATTACTTGGAATGTTCATTGGGCCTTCACACTGACCTACATTTACAGTTCTGTAAGATCAAAAACATTTTTTCCTTTCTATTTGCTTCTAAAAGGTTTCCCTTCTTATCATAGCGAAATAATAAGAACATGCAGTGTTAATTTAAAAATATACATTCTACTATTTTACATATGTGCAAATTAAATATTATACCTTTAAACTGTATTTACCTTTTTGCTTTCTTCCATTTCATGTTCAAACATCGCATTAAAAACTGGAGATCGAGCTGCAACAAGATTAAGTATCATTACTTAATGCACAAATTTGTTTAAAAAATATATATTATATTAAAGTAGAAATACATACCTGCAAGCACAGATTTATGAGCTTTAAATTCTTGTCCTCTCACAAAAAAACTGCAATCTGTAAATCTTGTGTTTTCCCAGAGATTACCCAAATCTTCTGCTAGTCGACATTCAGGCACCTTCAAAGTATTTGTATTAGTATGTCCTGATATATTTACAGAATCTTGAACCACACTCACCTAATAAAAAAGAACAAGAAAAACTTTGACAGACTTACCATATCCATAATTAAATGCTTTATTTATTTATTTTTTAAATTTTTTGGTACTGGGGATTGAACTTGGGACCTTGTACATGGCAAGGCAGGTGGCAGAACCACTGAGCTAAAAATCCACAGTCCCAAAACGCTTTACTTTTAAAATCATTTGATTAACTCAATGTACTCCTGATCAAAAATCCTAATAATGAAAAATTTAAGAATATAAATAAGATATGTAATGTAGGAAAAATTAGAAAAAAAACTAGATCTTTTTCATAGTGACATTAGGTAAAGAAATAGCTTATCAACTGCTTGGAAGACTTGATTATAATTACAAAAAATATTTCTCAACAGCAGTCACAATATGGTACAAAATACGAACAAGGGATGAATAAAAATAAAAGGAAAGAAGAAGGAAAATGAAAAGTTTGAACAAGAAGATGGTATTTTTGTGAGGTATAAGAAGAAATTTTATTTTTTCACTTACACTTTAGACTTAACATTTAAATTTCACTATATATGCATTTTAATGACTTCTACAGGTAAAAAGGTGTAAAAAATATGAAAACTGCAAAGTTTTAAAACTGTTGTTCTAGGTTTCAGTTCCAGAAGAACTGAATTAAATATCTAAGCTAATTTTACCTAGTAAAATTGACTGTAATTTTGAAATAAGCATTTCTACAAAACAAAATCCAATTATTAAAATTCATGGAAGTCTTCTATGAAAAATGAACAGCAAGAGCAAGACACCACTTTTAAGAAAAGGCCTTCCATTATACCTTACTGGAAATTTCACATACAATTAATAAAGAGAACATCACCTCAACTAATAGGCAAGTATTTTAGAGTAAATAAACTATTTTTTTAATTATATAAAAAGTGCAGTATTCATTACCTATCATTTTAAGATAAGTTTTGGGATCTTTGTTATGCAGCATATTAATGGCCATAGATATGTATGATTTATATTTGGTATAAGCAATCAAAATTCAGAAGGATTTGTATTTATATGACATACCTATTTATCTACGTAGTACTATAAAAGCTACCTTAAGTTTGAACTAGATACACAATTAACATTTCATACTATCAAGAGTATTAGAGGACTGTTTATGCAATGATTTCCAATTATTCTTTTTGATATCTATAGTTAAAAAAGGATACAAATTTAGTATTTCTATTACATATTTAAAACACATAATTAACAATTACAGATGGAACCTAGAATAAAAAATTCAGGAAGAAGGCTGAGATTCTTTGATGATTTAACTTATTTGATAATCCTTTTCCAACTGTGTTCGGCTCAACCCTGAGATTTGAGGCTTAAGCTAAACATCTAAAGGATGTAACATCAACACCTTAACTGCCCTGAAAATCTAGGTCTCCTGTAATGTGCAACTAAGGTGAATACTGGCTCTAGGTTTTAATCTGAATTCTTCAAACTAACTCTAAGAGAATGGAATTTCCAAAGTTACCTAGTATGATACAATAGTGTTGTCATTCTGATCAACTCCCTACTGCCTCCCACAATACTGTCAATGTGAGTATCTTTAAGATTCTATTACCTCATTATCCTCTAGAAGAGTGGGTCTGAAAGTTTTTAACTTTCATAGATAGGTGTCACTTTTAAAAATCTACCATAGAAATAAGGGTAGTCTACATTTCATTTTTCCAGAAAAGAGCTTTTATAGAAAACAAAACACAACTTCTACCCTGCCATAAGTAAGAAACAGAAAGGCTATATCGTATCCTCGCGAAACAAAACAGGATAGGGCAAAAAGATGTGTTTCTAAAAATAAGTGAGTTTAAATTTATGAAAAGGTCCTTATATTTTTTTAATGTCTATATATTTTTTTCTTTTTCTGAAAACCATGGAATGGCATGGATCTGAACATGTTAGAGATTTAAAAAATCTAGAAGGGGAAAAAATGAGAACCAAGACCTGGCATGTAAAGGTACAAGATCCCAGTAATGAATGTAACTGTACTGTCTACCTAGAATGTACCAATAAATTCAATTTAAAATTAAAAAAAAAAATCTACTGAGTTTCAAAAGATGAATTAATCTAAGTGTTCTATTAAGTAGTCTATTAAACTAATACGTTTCCTACTTATTCCTCAACTTCTACTTTCTGCATCATTATGGGAGAGAAGAGGCACAGATGTTTATGCTGCTAGAAATTGCCTTTTGCTTTTACCTGAACCACTATATATGGACTTTGCAAGATGGAGCTATGTCTTGCACAAACAAGGTAGCACCCACCTGCCTTACCTGTCTACAGCACCACTTGCAGGGGAGGGGGAGGAGGCAGTTCTTTGGGTAGAGCAGTGCAATGCTTCCTCCTCTTCTGCAAGCAGTGCTGGAGATGCTGTAGAAGGAAGGGCATCCATGAGAGGGGCAGAAGAAATGACGGAGGGCATGCAGAATGTTTAAAAGCATTTTTTTGCCCACCTACAATATATATGGTGCCCAGAGTATAAATGTACAAATTAATAACAAGATAAAAGATACTTATCTTAGTATCTAAAAATAAGACTTGATCAATGGCATCTCCAGAAATGTATATCATAGTAGGTTTTATTTTTAGGGGGTCACTATGACTAGCATGTAAAATCTAGCATATGGATACCAACCATACTTCAAAAGTATGTGTCAAAAGATTTAAATGTGTATCATGATAGATTTTATTTTTAGTAAGTTACTAGCATGTACAATCTAGAACATGGATACCAACCACACTTCAAAATTACATGTCAAAAACATTTCAGCCTTAATTCTGAATTTCTTGGCTATCTAGGTTCCAATAAAAATGCATTTTAGAAAATATCTGTATTATTTTAAATCTAAAAAAATGATTATTTCCTAAAAAGGTCCATTCACAAAAAAGATTTTAGCTGCATTTTTAAAAAATTGGATTAAATAAACTTGAAGGGCCATTTGCTAAATTCTGGAAAAGTCTACATTAAGGTTACTAAAGCTTTTAAATAGTAAAACATATTGTTATTTAGAATACTACTTGGAATACCTGCCAATTAGCAACAAATACTTTTGTTTTTTCCAAATTATGTAATGAGACTTGTGCTGTATGCTTTATCATCCATATTACTGTGTTTATAAAATTAATTAAATATTTTGTTTTATCCAAGTGAAAATAATGCACTATATTGTTTCTGGTATGGTATTTCAAGTCTGACACATATGTCATTATGATAAAATATAACAATATACAATTAACTTGTAATCCTGCCAAAAAATTTTTCATTTTTACTATATAGAGTAAAGCCAATTTAACGTCTACAGAAGGTATTTTGCTTCCAGTCCACATTAACCTGTTAAAACATATTTAAAGTCGAGTTAATTTGATCATACATTTGAAATGGCTTTTTCAGAAAAATTATCAACTGATTTAAACATTTCAAGACTGTACTGGTAATGTAATATTTGAATTCATTCCAAAGTTGAATCTCAAAAATTAATAAAGATAAAAGTACTCATGATAACAATAACAAAATTAAATGCAAGATATTAAGACAAATCACAAGTTATTTACAGGGGGAATTTTGTTACTTTCAAAATATGTTTTATGCACATAAATTTACCTTATGTTTGTCAAAATACATATGTACATATTTAAAAATTGTGATGTTTTTTAGAATGTTAACATACCCATTTGATTAAATTAATTCAATTGTTTAAACAATTATAAGGCTTTCCAATCTTTTTCTGGTACTGTTCTTTTGGATTCAAACTGATAAATTTTGAGTAATAATGTTCAATAACATCAATTTAAACAAATTCGTTGTGTCAGAATCATTTAGAAAGATATTTAGAAAGATTCATTACAAAGATATGCATATTCACAATTTTTTGAAAAGGAAGGGGGATTAATGTGGAATAACATGTAACATCTGCAGCTAGAGATATAACAAAATTTTTTCCAGACTGGGCCACCATAATTTGTAAGACAATTTAGTCAGCTTTTTCCAATCAAATATTTACAAATGAAACTTTTTACAGATAATAAAATTTAAAGTATTGCTCACAACTAATGCAGTCTGTATTTTTGTCATATCACTAAACATAACCATAGAGCTCCTTATAGTAAACTATATACTCACCTCACAAAATAATGTAAGCTTGTCATCTGGCAAAAGACCATTAGCTTCATCAAGCAAAAAATCCCTTCTAATGAATTTTTTAAATCCCCAGTCCTTCCCTTGTACAAATCGATAGGCTCTTTGGCTTTCTGGTAGAGAAGAGAAGTTTAAATAAAACAAATATCCAAGAAACATTTTTCTTTATACTACAGTGATATAAAATATGGAAAAACAGAAATTGCCAATACATGTATCATAAAAGTCTAGATATATGTGTTAATAAATAAAATGTTCTAAATTTTAAATCATTGCTCAACTTTTTGGCCATAGTCAGTGAATTCAATTTTTGATTTCTGAATCTCTTGAGAAGAAGAGAAAGACTAGAAAAAAATCTTGTGAAAAGAGAAGAAAGTTTTAACATCACGGGCCCTAAAAGATAATGAAATAGGACCAAAATATGTTGGCACAGGCATACTACTCATTATCTGCTATTAGAACATGGATAGAAACATACTCTAAATTCTTATTTTTTCCTTTAAAAATGGATATTTAAATTTTTAAAAAGTTTTCCTGGCATACTCATTCTGCTGTGTTTAAATGAATTACATAAAAATCCAAGAACTGGTTAAAAAAATTTTTTTATAAAGTCCCTTATCATTTGTAGGTCTTTAGACATTCTTTGATCCCTAAAACACATTTTCTTTTAGAAATCAAATAAACTGGCCATAGGGGCACATGCTTGTAATCTCCACAGTCCCAAAGGCTGAGGCAGGAAGATCACAAGTTCCAGCCCAGTTAGGACAACTTAAAAGATAAGCAAAATATCAAAATAAAAAAGAAAGAAAGGGATAAGGGTATAGGTAATTGTGAAGGCCTTGGGTTCAATTCCCACTGCTTGGAACAAAAGAGAAAAGAATAAAGAAAAAGTGTTAAATTTTTAAAGTATTGTATAACAAGTTTATACTGAAAAATAAAATATTCTATAGAAAGTATTCATCACTTATGATGTAAAGGTTAAAAGATTATTGGAAAACCAATAATCTAATTGAAGTACTGCACTATCTTTAATATTAGACAATGTGAAAATTTATATGAATTGGTATTTCTTTGCCAATAAAAGACACTATTAAAAAGTGTGTGTCTGGTTTTAAAACATTTTTGTAATAAAATTACTTGATTGTGATGCACTTCTAGAAAATATTTAAAATTTAATTTTGCAACTCATGAGATATTTTCTTTCTATGCACACTATACATTTTCTATTACAAAGCTCTTGACCACAGATATACACAAATGTGTATGTGCATGTGAATCCTGAGCTGAATTTAATAGAACCTAAGTCTTAAGAAAAGTTTATTTTTCTTCAGTGTAGAGTACACTGCTCAAAAAATTCTAGTACTAGAATACTGGGGCATTACATCTCCTTCACATAGTTCTCCAGATTTTATTACCTGCCAGAAATAGATCTTAAACATCTATTATATATACGCCAGGCAATGAACAAAGCACTTTGCCCTAAAAGCACATAAATTTACCTTATTAATTAGGTCATGAAGAAGTAAAATTAGGACATGAAGAAGTAAAATTTTAATATTATTTTTCGCTACTTTCATATGTTTTTTGAAGTCTAAGGCTTAGTAGAACAACTATAGCTCCATGCTAAACTTCAAATAATGTCCAAGTTCGGGCTAAGCATATTTGAGTAGGAAAAAGATCTTAAAACTTTTCTAGATAAAGGCACAGAAGTCACAATATGTAGTCACATCCTTCACTCAGTTTGCAAATCACTTACCCATTGCTTTTGTTTCTTCCCTTTTAGCATTCAGAAGGGAAAATTTGAATTTTGCTCGAACTTCACTTTTGGGGCAGCTGACTAAAAGCAAATATAAGGACAAGTAGTCTTTACTTTCATCATCTAATCCCTTTGGGTTTACCCTCAGGCACCTAAAATAAAACAACAGGCTCACATGGAGGAATATAATACTCAAAGCATGCAAAAGATACACGCAATACTGAAATCATCTGTTAGTTAATATCACAAACAGCTCTCCTGTAACATACCCACAGTTATTTACAATTCTCTCATACTATTAGCAACTTATTACCAATATAAAATTATACAATACCCACCCCTCAGAGGCAACAACAAATCATCAGTAGTTGATGATCGCATTAAAACAAAAACAACAATCTAAAATAAACAAAAATCTTACCATTTCATTTTGTCACTTGGACCAGATGAAAATGTTGAGCTTTTTAGCACTTCACCCATTTCCTCTCGACAAAAACTGAAGTTATTAATGGTCCACATGTAGGAAAATTTTACTACTTTAACCTAAGAAATTTAGAAAATCATTTTTTTATAATGATGATGTTTACACTTTTAATATGTCACATTTTAAACACTATGTATGCCCCACTCTAATCCTTCTAATAACTATGCCAAAATGTTTCATAGTCATATTCTCAAGATACTATAAAATTTATAGGTGACAAAGTATTTTTTCTTGTGATACCTACTGGGTGTCAAACCCCAGGGTGCTCTACCAATAACCTACATCCCCAGCTCTTTTTATTTTATTTTTCATTTTGAGACAGAGTTTCATTAAGTTGCTCAGACTGGGTTCAAACTTGTGATCTTCCAGTCCCAGCTTCCCAGAGTACTGAGATTACACATGTGTGCCACCGGCCCAGGTTAAAGCCACTTTTAACACTAAAGAAGGCATTTTTTAACAGCATGTACCTGTGTATAACACCAGCTTTCTGCTATAGGGCCAGGGGACATATCTCCAGGCAGAGGTGGGGTGGGTTCCCGAGACATTGCCACCTTGCAGTCTTTTAGGATTTATGCAGTATCCACACAGGTGAGTACTTTATCTATAAGAAGTTTGATTTACAGATCAAAAAATTAACTGACATAATTAAGAGGGAAGATAAATTTAAAAGTCATGAAGCAATTACTACTTGAAATTAGATTCTGAAAGAATATAAAATTTCAAATAATTTTAATGAAATGAAATCACAAGCATTTATAACATACATTTGAAACCTAAATAAACTTATTGTTTTTATAGATATTATTTTTCAAGGTATATTTAAAAAAGTACTACAAATCAAAAGAACCCATGTAGCTTAATAGTAAGAGCATATCATGAAAATTTAATGCCATCAAAATTTAATTCACCATCCTTCACCTTTTCACTGACCTATTTATGAACACTGAAAGGTTTACACAGTTATTGCTATAAATATGTTACTCATCTGTTAGATTAAGAAACTTTCATCAAGTAAAACACAGATTTCCACAAGTGTTGATCTATCTTAGACAGGCTCTCTGATCAAAAGACTTTGTCTCTATCATAGTACTTCTTAATGAGATAGACCACATCCTAAAATTCATTCCCAGCTAGCTGTCTCACAGCATATCCATTTGGATGCATAATTAACACTTCACAACCTGGTGAAGATACTACTTAAGAGATTATTATGCTTTGCAACTTAGAGAGTCTATTAACTATATAAATAGTGTATTTTGTAGGTTTAACAAGCTTTCGTGATTACATTTCCACATGGGTATTCAAGTCAGGATAACCACCTTTTCAAAATAATTGATAAGGGAGGAAAACCACATGAATCCTTTGGGGGTATACTAAGTAAAAGAGAAAAAAGGACCTTAAAAAATCCTGAGAAAATTATAGGCACAATCTTTATATTCCACAAAATAATAGTATGGGATAAGAAAACAAAGATTGAAGGATCCCATCCGAAAGATAGATAGAAATAAAAATACTACAAAAGATATAAAAGCACGTTAAACTATTAATGAAGCACATTAGAAATCTGTACTGGAATAAATACATACAAGAATGGGCAGAACATCAGTATAAAGCTTTGAGAATCAGAGAATAAAGAACAAAAAGAAAGCAACAGATATTGCCAACAGAAAACAATCTGAATTACTGACCAGATAACTATTCTGAAAGATGTTAAAACAAATGAAAAAAGCAGTTATAATCAAAGATTATAGAAGCAGGAAGACTATGATCTCCATGGATGAGCTCCATAACAACCAACCAAAATAAGAAATCACCACTGAAATATTATTTTGTAGAGTTTAAAATGAGAAAAACCTGTGGGTAATATACATGTTACAAATATCCAGATAGTATCATTTTTCTACTAAGTGCTAAAACCCTAAAGAGAACAGAATTATTACTACAAAGTTCTAGAGGGGAAGGGGCAAAAATTGATTTCCAGATGTGCAAAATATGTGCACCCCTCTCATAGCTATTTGGTAGAGGGTATAAACTACTCAAGTTACTTTCTAGCCAGATACATCAAGAGAAAAAACAAAAACCTCCAAAATGGAGTGCTGATTCTTTCTTTTCATTAATACATGTTTGTACTACATAATGTTTATAATCCTTGTGGAGAATTAGCATGTGTACAATTTTAGTTACTTACTCATTGCTCTGATAAAATATCTGACACCCAAAGTTAAAATAGGAAAGGTTTATTTCTTTCTCACAGTAGAGATTTCAGGCCACAGCTGGCTCCAAAACAGGGTGTCATGGCAGAAAACAAAAGTCTTCCTTTCACCTTTCCCTTTTATTCCATTCAGGCTACAAACCTAATGTCTGGCGTCTTCCACACCCAGGGTGGGGTTTCCCATTGCCCACACGCAAAATATTGCTAATAAAGCAGTGGACTAATCCAATTATCAAACCCTTAATCCATATCCATACACCCTTAATCCATATTCTCACACCCTAGTTCCAGCTAGCTTCAAAAAGCTCACCTATGAGCACATGAGGCTTTGGAAGGGGACCATCTACATGTAAGCCATAACATTCTGTCCCCGGTCCCCCAAAGACTCATGTACATCTCTGTATGCAAAAGGCACTAGTCCATCTCTACGAGTTGCCAAAGTCGTAACAGATTCAGCACTGCTGAAAGGTTTAAGATTTAGGACAAACTCTTAGCTAGGTTCCCATATACAAATGAAAAGTTAAACACTTCCAACACACAATGGCACAAGATAAACATTCCTATTTCAAAATGTACAAATAGAATAACAAAAAGGAATGCGACCAAGGCAAGTCAAAAATCCAGGAGGTCAAACATTAAATCCAACATCCAGGGCAATCAATAGCAAGATGTGAACTCCAAAAGGCTTGGGCGGCTGTGCCCCTGTGGCAGTGTTGGTAGTTGTAGCTCTCATGGTCTCTCTTTAGCTGGCTTTACTCCTTTGTTTTCCTCAGACAATTCCAGTACCTGGCATCTCTAATGTTCTGGGGTCTCCACTGCACCTGCAGCTTCAAATTCAAAGCTTCACATACTGTCCTCTTAGGAGGACACTGTCTGCCCTCTCAGGCCTTTTTCTGAAATCTGAAGCCAGTAATGCATTGGTGATGCCAAGGCCTGTTCCTAGCTGGGGCTAAAGCCAGTCTTCCTTCTCTCTTGGCTTTAGGGGTCAAGTACCTGGATTACTGAGTACTATGAACCCAACTCCAAGAACAAATTCCTTAGGCCTCAGTCATTCTGGAACATGGTGCTCTGGGGCTCTCAAAGCAGTCTTTCCTCTTTGCTATTCTGAGGTTGCAAAGAGTAGTCCAGTGGGTCCTGCGATGCCTTCAGGCCACCTTTTCTATTGTCTTGTTCTGTTTCAGTAACCAGTTATCTGCACCTGCTTTGAAGGCTCTTTTTGTTTTTCAGCTTTAATTGAGTTTATTGGTAAATTTTAGGGATACAGTACAGTTATATTCATTGTTGGGATCTTGCTTTATCAGCGCTTCCTTCTGGCCACTCAAAACATTTAAAATCATCGCGCAGGGCTCTTTGGTCTTGATTCTCCAAATAAATCTAACTAAAATCCCCCAAAAATAGCCATGCCACCACCTCAACATTAGCCTGCCTTGAAATATCTTCCACAAGATTAGTCTATCTCACTGAATCTCAGTCTCCTGCAAAGTCTCTGGACAAGCACAAAAAGACAAATTTTCTGCCAAAGCAGTCCAACTACCAATGTAACCCTTCTTCCTAACAGAAACCTCCAGAGCCTGGTTCTATCAGCATTCTGGTCTTTTGAGCTCTGACCAGAATATCCTATCAAATTAAGCTTTTAGCAGGAGAGGGCTGATTCCTCAGCTGGCATCTTGAAATCTTTCCAAAGTCTTCCCACAAGCTAAACCCAAAGGGTTCTTTACCACATGGTTGGGCAGTGTCACAGCAATGACCATTATTCTCTGGTACCTAAACCTGTCTTGGTTACTTTCTTGTTGCTGGAACAAAATACCCAACACCCATGGTTAAAGGAGAAGAGGTTTATTTTATTTATTTAGCTCACAGTTCAGCAAGACATGCAAATATGTAAGAATTTACAAGATAGGCTTACAATGGTCATCCACAAAGTCAGGTGTTGAAGAGTGCAAGAGGGCTGTCTGCACACTGCAGAGCCTAAGGATCTAGTTGAAGGCCTGAAGCACATGGCAGTGTCAGGTGTGAGTTTGTACCAGGAGGCAGAAGAGTCTGTGCTAGAAGGTAGAAGATGACTTCCAAAACAAAGGTGAAGATTGGAGCTCCTCCAAAGAAACAGAAGCAAAACTTTCTTCTCTGTTTTCCTTTATTACATTCAGTCAAGAAGCCTATTGGTTGGTGTCACCCACACCCAGGATGGGCTTTTCCATTATCCATACCCAGAACAATGTTAACCATTCAGTGGACTAATCCAATTATCACACCCTTAATCCACATTCACAAACCCTAGATCCAGCCATCTCCAAAACGCCCCACCTATGAGCACAGGAGGCTTTGGAAAGGACATTTAGATACTACTCATAATATGTTCATAATTCATTAATTTTTAATCCCCTTTTCTTTTCCTCTCTACCCACCTCTTGATCCTTTTTGTATATATCTGCAGTAGATAATATTTATATTACTTGTGAGTTGATACATGTATATAATACATCTTAATTATTTTTTTCATCTTCTATCATTCCACATCATCCCTCTCCCTCCTTTTCTTGATCCTGTCTGAGAAAGATCTAATCCTTTACCTCCTATTCTCTATCCTTTATTTTGCTCTTAATTTTTACTCTGGTCATTCATGTAAGAGAAAAATGTGATATTTAACCTTGTTTGTGTGATTTATTTTACTTCACATTGTGATCTTAAGGCACATCCATTTTCCTACAAATGACTCAAGTTTAACTTTCTTTGTAGCAGAGCAGTACTCCATACCACATTTTCTTTATTCAATCTTTTGTTGACAGTCATATAGGCTGCTTCCAAAATTTACCTACTATCAATTGTGCTGCTATAAACATGGGTATAAATGTATTGCTGTAGTATAATGCCTTTAACTCTTTCAGGAAGATACTGGAGAGGGGAATAGTTGAGTCAAACAGAATGTCTAGGTTCAGATTTTTGAGGGATCTTCATATTCATTTCCATAGTAGTTGTACTGGTTCTGAGTTTTATAGCACTGGAACATGCGTAAGAAATTTATGTTTTAAAACTGAACAGTTACATAAATGTACCAACTTCCCATGATGGATGTAATCAATATGCGCTGTAAGCATGTATAATAAAAATTAATTTAAAAAACTGAATGGATATGTTAAAACTCACTCTTTGAAAACTGACAAAGTAAGTCCACTGGATAAACTACTAGGTAAATCTATGAAATAATAGTAGTTTTAAGGTACAAAATCCGTGGGCCTAGGATTTACTTTTGAAGTACATAAATGAAGATGGCAATCAAAAGATGGATAGAAAGTGAAGGGACGGGAGGGAAAGGGGATGAAAAAAGTAATTAAGATGTATTATGTTCATATTCCAACTCCACACAAGGAATGTAAACAGTATGCAATGCA